AAATTAACATGATCTCCGTGGCGGAGTTACATGCAGTTTGAAAGTATTTCAATATTTTCTTATTTTCGGCAAGATCTACTTCACTTGTGAAACAGGCGTAGTCTTAATTATTTAAATATTACTAAATTTATGTATATAAATAATGATATTAAATGTGATATTTTTATATTTTATATATATATATATATAAATGTTATTAAATATATGTTATGTTATTTAAATACTGGTATCATATATTTAAATAACATAATATTGAATATTTAAATAAATAATAAGATATTTAATTAACACATTATGTTATTTGACTTGATGTTGAAATAATTCTACGTTTGTTTATTTGAACAAGCAAATGATTTTTATTTAACTAAATTATTTAGTTAATTGGCTATCGAATAAAATAATTTTTTATCTCATTATTATTTCTTATTATTCTTAACTGATTGTCATATTTTGTATCCGTTCCTACAAATAGTTTCTCAAATAGTTTTTAATTCTGTATTGCGTATAAATTTCACCTTCTGCCTCGATTATTTGTTATTTTATTTCAATGAATTAACTTAAATTTAGAAAACTTTAGAAACAATTTTATTCAGACAGTTTTACTGTTAAAAAAAAAAATATTGAGTAAAAAATAAGTCAATTTTCGTTGCAAGTTTCTCAGTATTATATGTTATTATATCTATCTTAATTGCTGTTGTTATTAAAATTATATATAATTATATATATTATATATTCTAAGATACTATATAATATTATAATAACATTAATATAATTATTGTATTATAATATAATATATTATTATATTCTATTTTTATTCAATATTTCATTTCATTTGAATCTATTAATTGCTGTTGTTATTAAAATTATATATAATTATATAATATTGCAATAACATTAATATAATTATTATATTATAATATAATATATTATTATTATATTATTATTATATTATATTATTTATTCAATATTTCATTTCATTTGAATTTGTAAATAAATTTGTATCTAACATGTTTCATCTAACATATATACCAATTATATTAACAAATTGTTATAAAATTTATTTTTTTATATCATCCTTGAGAATATCTGCCTCGTTCTTCCTTACTGTTAG